AGTTATTGTTTGTAAACAAAAATTATTTATATCATTTGATCGAGTAATATTAAGCGTCAATCATCCGAATCACCCGTGTATTTGGTCTGATGGGTGATCCAGATAAGTCTTTTTCGGACGGATTCAATCTCTATCCATCGGCCAATTTCTCCAACTCATCAGCACCCTCAAACTTTTCAGATTTCTCAGTGAACCAATATATAATTCCGACCTAAGCTTTCCTTTGTGATGCTAAGCAAAATGTGTATGGTTTCTAATCAAAATACTTTTTGCAATCAGATGATACATACTGGAATGTTCTTGATAACTGTTATTTTATCCCGATTTAAAACTAATTTAGCGCCAGTTTTTCACTTTGAAACTGTTATTTATATATTATGGTCAACAATTACGGGGATAGGATTTTAAATTAATTGGTGGAATTTAAAATTTAACGGTAATATTTGAATTCCGTATATTTCATAACGTATTAGTATGTATTCAGTACCTTTTAGACAGTTTTTTATGGGGATGAATTCATTGTCTTTGACACCAATGTACCAATTCTCAATCCTATATCCATTGGGATGAATTCTCTGACTTGAAAATTCATTGGCTATGCAATAAAGCAGTATGTCAAAAGTGCAGCCCAGTAAACCATGATCATGAATGCTACGTTTCGGAATCTGAATATACACGCCTGCTTAATATTTCAGTTCCTCGCCTGAATCTAAAAATCTGAAATGAAAAAAAAGTAAATATCATCTATAGAAACTCTTATTTTTTTTTTTAATCTTTCATTTCACTTATATATGTTAATATTGTCTCTATTACAACATTAACCAAATAATGAGATTCACCAGGCAGTGAGTGAATGTAGCACTTTTTCCTTATTTTTATTTGTTTTCCTCCCACACCTTATAAAAACTTTATTGGTTGGTTCCCTACGACGTAAATAATAACAATAATAATAATAAATTAATAAACAATACACTAAATTTAAAAATTTTGAAATTATTTTCGAAATGGATATTTTTCATGTTAAAAACTGTCACTCTTTTCTAACAAACTTTACATCAATCATTCTTTTATTATCTTCATTTTTGATTTCTAATGTTAAATCTTTGTCACCTCCACCCTCTTCTTCAGCCATCTTTTCCACCGTTTCCTTTACATCTTTTTCACAACCTTCATCCGACGATACTACTGATTTACCTTTTACCACTAATGTTTCTAAATCAGACTATATCACACATTTATTGATGCATTCATACAAGCACTAGATATTTGTATCGGAATTTATTTTTTTTCTTCACATAGAAGTATGAGACATAGAGATATAAAAGTATTTGAGTTTACTTTTACAGCTTTACTTAACTTTTTAAGCATGATTCTTAGCACACTTGGAATGATCACTGGGATTGACAAAGAAGTTAGACCCAGAGCAATAATACATGGAGTAATAATTGTATTTTTTTGGTTGTTTTTGGAGCTAGTTTATTATAGATCAAATTTTTTAGATAAAGAATGCGAAGAAGACCGTATAATATATATAGCTTACGTGATTTTATTAAATGCGGTTCGTTTGTATTTTACTACAAAAAATTTCAAATTTTTTATTATTGAGATTTTTAAAGTAATTGCAATTTTGATGAGTAATTATATCGGAAATCTAAAACCAATATCATTGGTTATACCATCAATTATCCAAGGCGTGATTTTATTACGTCTTAAAGATGATTATGTCATCATAAGCAGACACTTGGTATTGATTGCAATTAGTTTACCTCCAGTAATAGCCTTGGTATCTCCTGCAATTTTTTTATATCGGAGAATTAAAAACAATGATATATTGTTTCCGAAGTTTCAAGTTATTCAGATTTATAGTAGGATTCAATATTTTCTAGTTCACTTTTTTGTAGAATTAGGAAAGATTCTTCTTAAATTTTGCGAATTTGCAATGTATTTTGTACTATCTCCTATATATATTATGATCAGTCTTTCTTGTTATTTTTTGGTTGTGGTTTATTTGTAGTGTCGTTAATTTTGATTAGTTGCATTTTTTTTATTATTTTTTTATTTATAACAATTGTTACGTTAGGATTAGTACAAATACCATTGTATTCCGCCGTCATCATTCCAACAGTCAGTGCTATTTATAATATTATTGTCATTGCCTTAATTGAAAATCCCACTTCGTTTTTACATTTTTGATTTATATTTTTACTTTCTAGAATTCAACTCGAAATTTTTTTATTTTTTATTTTAGATATGTTTATTGTGTAAATAAAATAATCAACAAGTAAAACTAATGTCTGTGAAAATATCAACAAACAAGTATCTGGTGTTTTAGTTTCTTTATCGATTGTTTTGCACAATTATTGCCTCGATCTTTCATTTTGCAGTAAGAAACGAGTTTTCCATTATATTTTTTGAACTATGAGACATTGGTCGGGTCAGTTATGCATTTCTTCAATCATTGACTCATTGGTTGGAGGAGCATGGCATCTTCAAAATTTATTTTATTTATTAGAATTACAGATTATTGATGTATTTGATGAAGAGAAAAAATGTAATTTACCCTTACAATCTCTCGTGAAACATGCACATGACTGTTAAATGTAGTATATAGATACTTGCTCTCTTTTCTTTTTTACTGTACAAAAAGGAACTAAACAATTTATCATTAAAACTAGAATAACAAGTGACAAACTGGTAATCACAACCATCACTACTAAGAATGGTTGACAAAATTCATATTTATCGCTAAGGGCCTTTTGATGAAATTGACGAAATTTGACGTAATTGATCAGCCAATCAAATTAAATTTATTATTATTACGAAATTTCCAAAATCATTTTCTTCAAAATCGTTTTCTCCACAATCACCTTCTCTAAAATCATTTTCTACTAAATTATTTCTTTCAAAATTATTATCTTCAAAACCTCATGATTTAAATCATTATCTCTATTTTGTGAATCATAATAAATAATTGTTTACTTCATCTTTTAAAATAATTGGATGTATGTTATTTGTTTTTCTCTCTTAAAGTTGAACATTCAGGCTGATACCCTTTTGAATTCCTATTGCTTCTTCAATTTCATCATTAATATTTTTTAAAAAATCTTCTTCCCTTTCTTTTGGTTCCAAGTTTTGTTTAATTATCATCTTCTTTTGCTCGATCCTTACTGGTTTCTTGATGTTATTCTAGTTTATTGAAAGAACTGTATAGTTTATAGTTGGTTATTTCGCAGGTTTCTGTGATATTTTCATAATCCTGGGAATAAGGTTGTGGGCGAAACTCCTCCAGAAATCAATCGGCAGAGTTACACATTAATTGTTTATTAGAGTTTCGGCAGAGTTTCGCATTTGGAGGTTTTGTCAATCGTCAGAGTTTTGACAAGGTATATATTAATTGTTCATTATAGTTTCGACAGAGTTTTGACAGTCACTAAGAGGTTTCGGCAAGCAACCTTATGTACGACTCATCATCATTCTAGTTAAATAATTAAATAAAAATAAAAATAAAGATTGGCCACTCAAAAATTATACGGATCTAAATTTATCATCACTTGCTTGTTAATTTGTAAATTTAAAAAATTAGATTGTGTAGGTTCTTTCACAAGTGATATTTTTCAGTGATATATTAATTCTAGACTATCCTTTGGAACATTCTTTATTGGTAAAAAAAAGTCTTTGTTAAGAGACTTTAAGTAATTAGTATTAGTAATGTTATTGTTTATGATTAAAGACATATCCAATAATTCTTATATTTCTAAATACTGTAACGATTGACACCTTGTCCTAAAAAAAGATTGTTGCCAAACTTACAAAAAAAAGGAGAATGAACGTTCTAGAAGGTTGTGCACAGCCTTTAGACCTTGATCGAATTATTATGGGATGAAGATAAGGATGAATTATAATTTTTTTTTTTTTAGAAAATAATGGCAACAAATTCCTCGCGAAGAATATTTGAAAATGCATCATAAAGCAAAACTTTAATAATTATATTCGTAGCCACAAGGACCAGTGCTTCCAATTGATATATAAATCACAAATATTTACCAAGCCAGATATATATTTCTCAAATAAACTACCAAATAACGTAACCATGGATCCCAAGCAACAAAATATGTTCTCCTTCGTACATTTATATTTACATTTTTTTGATATCTATCCTGTGGTTAAAATCACGTGTTGAAATATTATCAAAAATATTCCCATGGACAAATGACACGGGGATGGTTAATTTCTCTTGAAATCAAAAATAAAATTACAACAGTAATAATAATTAATGGCTAATGGCTTCAAACTTTTTAAAACAAAATATTGCAGTAAGTAGTAGAAATAATGATTTTCAAAAATAATAATAAAATAAACTATTACTATATTTTATTTAGCTTATTCCATTGCTTGCCGCAGCTAGTGGAGGAGTGGTCGTAGGTGCAGCGTAAGTCCCTTTTAATTATATATGTTTAATATTTTATCTTTTTTTATATCATCAATATTGAAATTTTGATATCGAAATCAAGATACGGGATTTACGTATTAACGACATGTCCTGATGTGGTTTTAAAAAGATTGGATGAACAACAACCTTGGAATAAAATCAAGCAACATCAAATTATAAAGTAAAAAGTTTTATAATAAATTGATTGAAATTCACCGTAAGGCCTCGAAATTACAGCACCCTTTTTACAACTTGTGTCAAAGCGTGCGCTATCATCATCCATCTTTCGAGGCCTTATGGGATAAACAATTTAAAAGCGATGTTAATTCTTTTTCTTTTTATCTAGCTTATGACGATCAATAAAGAGTTTTTCGACTCTCGTAAAGTTTTAGAGTCACCTTCAAAACGTTATTAAACAATATCTTTAAATTGTTTCTTTTAGTAAATATTAAATAAAATTTTTAGATATATTTTATGAGAATTTAATAAAATTTAAAATTTTTATTATTATTAAGTTATATTATTGGTGAAAATATATAATACTCGCACAATTTATTTCCGATCCAGAAGTTTACATAATTTGTGGTCTAAAATACCGTTGTAATTTATTTGCTTTGACTCCAATGCGTGTATCAAAATTCTGTTGACGTCTTTTATCTTGATATTTATTTCGTTGAAGAATTTTAAAATTTTTTTCACCATCATGTGTGATTAACACACCTCCAGATTGTTGTGAGTAACCCATACTATTGGCATAATGAGTTATCAATTTTTTAATTATTGAAACGTCATTATTTCCCTATTATTATCATCATCACCATCATCATGAAATAATAAACAAACAAATTTGGTTGATTGATTGATTAATTAATTTGCAATAAAATTAATAAAGTTTTCCAAGTAAAATCTTTTAAATACCTCTCTATTACGGAGATTTTGTTTATAATATCTTGCCAAGGAGCGATGACCAATACGTGCACCTGAAGGCAACACTAATTCCATTTTATCTTGATATATCATGTTCCTATTCAATATATTTCACAGATTATTAGATTATTTATTTAGATTATTTATTTATTTATTCATAAAGAAATAAATTATTTAATTAACAAAAAAACTTTTCAATACCTTTTTGGTAATTCATCCTCATCCTCGTCATCAATATCTTCCCACTCATCATCATCATCATCATCATCATCATCATCATCATCGGCAACATTCACATCGTTATCATCATCAATATCCAGATCAGAATAGCTAGATCTAAAATCATAATAATCAGATATTTCCATAATATCATCTTCTTGATCATAAATTATCATAGTATGGCCTTTATCAATCTAATAATAGATTTTTTTTTTATTAGTTGAAAATTTGAAAACTTATTTTTTTTTCTTGGTAAGAAGAAAAAAATTTACCATGTGTTTTCTAACGGCTTCAAGACTTTGAAAACCCTTTCCACGTCCATTACAGTAAAGGCATACATTACCAACCGAAATCTTTTCTCCTAAATATTTAATTAATCCTCGTATATTAACTAAATATTCAACTTCAGGTATAAAGAAACTATGAACTTTAGCCATATGAGTGATATTGTCATCAAAAGTATCGGATTTATGTGCACAGAACAAACAATCCATCTCTCCTAAACGAATAGAAGTTTCTATCTTTTTATCCACCAACAATAAAGTGCTTGTCTTTTTAAATTTTTGTTTTAATAACAATTATAATAATATTAGCATACATTTAAATCAATATAAATTTTATTTACTAAAGGTTATCTTTACCTCATCTTCCATTGTTAACACTTTAATTTCTTGTTCTTTTTTCGGCATTTTTTGTGAATCATTATTATCATCATCTACATTGATGTTACTGGTATTTTTTAATAAGGAATCTTTATACAATTATTAGAAAATAAAATTTATAAGTTTATCATCACATTTATATTATTATTATTATTAATAAAACAATTGCATGAATTTTTTTACCTTTAGTTTTTGTGTCACTAATACTAGTAGTGGTTGTGGATCTAGTTTCTGCAACTTTATGTTTATTTGACTTTAAATGGTTTACATATGCATTATTTGAATAATAAATTTTACTATTGAAAAAATAAACAAATAAAATAAAAGTTGATTAGAAAAAATGTTGAATTTTGATCAATTAATAATTTTTTCATTTACTTGCAAACACCACATTCAACAGAAAAATTTTCTTTTTCAATTGCAATTTGATTTTTTCGTTGTTGAGCTAATAATAATTATTATAGAAGTAGATTGAATAGAGTGCTCATAGTGTTAAAATAAAAATAATTTAAAAGGTCTCAAATATTTACCCAAGACTTTTTGAGTAAATACTTCCAAGGTTACAGGTGATAAATCGACAACCTTCCTTTTTAAATTGTATCGATGCCAATCTGAAACATAATGATTTCGTTGAAGTTCAGCAGAAGAAAAACCAACTTGACAAGCTAAACAAGTAAAAAGTAAAGTTTGGGGTTGTTGTTGATCGGTCATATTGATTACAAGTTGTAGTTGTTTAATTTATTTTGTGGTTAAAAGACTCGATGATCAACATAAATTGTATAATCAACCAGTATTACTTGAAAAGGGCTTTCTCAATTATCCAATCATAAGATTTATTAGGTAATTGTTCACTTAGTACTGTAGTATTAATATTAGTCATCCGGCTTTGTTTTTCTTTTCAAGTATTTCCTTTTCAGACTTTTTTTACTTTAGCATTGTTCCATTCTTTTCCCGCAAATTTTATCCAACTCATTCAACCTCTCTAACCTCACCTCCAACTTTTCATACTCCTTGTTTGCTCGCTTGAATTCCTTTTCCATTTTTCGATAGTAGACTTTTTTTTTGTAAAGTAAATAAAAATTTAAAAGAAAAAAATTAATTAATTAATTAATTAATTGTTCCTATGCTTAATTTTTACTACCATAGTAAAACGGACTACTAATCTGTAAAAACAAAACAAAAAACCAAAAGTAGTCAGAGTACTTGCATAGAAGGAAAAAATACTCAGATCCAAAGCCATTTTGAGTATTACCTATTTTTTAGGCACTCTAATAGGTACATAATATATCTATTAGATTATGTATCTACTTAGCTAGGTTATGTATCTACTAGGATTAGACAATGTATCTACTATGACTAGATTATGTATCTACTAGGATTAGACCATGTATCTACTTTGTGGCCTGATGATGAGAATTGGCCACATATCAATGTGGCCCATTTTTATTTTACGAGTGATTTACGAATTCATCTTCATTTGGGTTATGATTGATTCACAAATTCATTGTCATTTGGGTTAGGATTTGACCCACGAATTCGTTATCATTTGGATGTTGATTGATCCACAAATTCGACATCATTTGGATGACGATTGATCCACAAATTCGACGTCATTTGGATAACGATTTGACCCACAAATTCATTGTTGTTTGGATGACGATTGAGCCACAAATTCGACATCACTTGGATAACGATTGATCCACAAATTCAACGTCATTTGCACAATGATGTAATTATTAATAAATTAGACTATTTTGTGGTCAAATGATGCATTGATCGAATATTCTAATAATTTAACACAAAAACATATAAATAGAACCTCTATCCCCACTTCTTGACCAAAAAAACCAATTCGTAAAAAATACATGTCTCCTATACCACTACAAATAACACCACAATCTTTTAGGCGATTTGCCAACTTTTTCAATTGTGAGGATGAGGCACGAAGTGCTGAATTGGCAATCTGTATTTTGGCCTTGTATGTCGAACTTGAATGCCAGGTGAGGCATGTAGTGCCAAAATAGTATTTGTGATCTGGCTTTGCATGTTGCATTCAAATGCTAGGTTTGAGGCACGAAGCGCCAAATTGTTATCCCTACTTGGTGATTTGCAAAAGCACAATTTTTCTTACTTCTTCCTTATATTATTCTACCTATGCGTATCATCACAAGTATACTATGTTTTGGGTCTCTAGAAACCTTTCTCGTATAGTTGGTGCTTCCAGGTATTACCTCTCCATGTAAAACTTTGTCCTATCCTTTGTTGTTTTACTATTGAAAAATTGAATGTACTACTGATTCGAAAATTTTATTCTTACTTTTGTGTACTACAGAATCAAAAAATTTATTCTTACTTTTGCATACTACTGAAAAAATTTCACACTTTTGTGCCATAATTCCATCACATGAATTTTTTTGTAATATACATACAAATGACAACTTTAGGAAATGATTCTAGCTATAAACCGTTGTACATTACTGACGTCTCAAGAGAAACAAGTGAGGTATCGAGGTATGTGTGATTACACATGTATGTAATATTATTTAGCTTGAAGAGCTGTTCAAATTAATACAATGTACAACAGCTCAACTTCAAGAGACCATCAGGAAATTAATTTAGCATAAACTTGCATAGATCTTATGATGCTGGCGTAATAATGCGTAAATCTTACAGTGCCGATGTAAGTTTTACACTTTTTTGTTATTAAACTTACAATTGACACATCTTATTATTATTATCTTGTCTTTTTTTCTCAATATTCACATGACCATGATTTTCTTTTTTATCATTTTCATTCAAGTAAACATAACCAAAAGCATAATTTACTATCAAAAAGTAGAAATAGCATAAAATTTGTTTGTCTTTATTATATAATAATTATTCGTCATTAAATACTTCTAATACTTCAAGCAATGTTTCTCTTGTCTTTTCATCAACTTCTTTGTTGAAGACACGCCATTCTTTGTGAATTTCTTCAATGGTTTTCGTATCTTCCAAAGAAAGATTTACAAAATATTTTAATACGTTTGTTTCATTTTCATTATAATCCCATTTTTTAGAAATATCTCTAAAAAGGAAATCATCCTTAAGTCTTCGAGACTTTTCTTCTAAGATACTCTTAAATTTTTCTAGTTTATCATTTTTTAACTTATTATCAAAGCTCTTTTCCATTATGAAAAAGAAACTTGTTATTATTATAAAAAAAATGACTATTGTTATTTATGGATCAATTCGAAGGTTGTTAATATTGTCATTTATACATTTCGTTTTAATAGTATTATTAACGTCAAGGTGTATTGTTATTAATTAAATACAATACATACACGAATAATAATTTTATGTTAATGCGAACGATTTATAAGTTTAATGAAACTAGGCTTAATTTAAGTTGCGCAATTAGGAAAGTTACATTGCGCGATATTATTTATTATTATTAAATTTTATTAGTAATTGTTTTATTGTTATTCTAAAGGTATTTATGAAAGTTTTAAAATTTACAAATAAATGCAGTCTTTTTTAATGCTTAAACAATACAAAAGTTGAAAATGGGACTTGAGTTCAGTTCTATATATTGCAGTTGCGACATATAATACAGGATGTTGATAGAAATATATTAATATACTTTTAAAAAATGATTATATTCATGTATTGTTTAAAAATTTATATATAAATTATCCCAACTCTTCAGCATAGCAGAAATTTGAAATGTTACATTAATATTAATTTTTTATATTGTGCAATGTAACTTCTGGCAAGCGATAAACTGATTTGAATCGGAGATGGGTTCTCAATAACATTTCGTGTGATAACAAACTTCCACTATGCTCAACTCTTCTGGAATAAGCTTTATCTGACTGAACTCCAGGGGGCGGGAAGCAATGCCCTGGAGTTTACCGAAGCTTGCATCAATCGTCAATGACACTTTCACTAATCTTCCCAGACCAGAGATGGCTGCTGACATGCTAGCCGAAAAGTTACCTGCAATGATCCTACCTCCAGGGCAATGGTGGCTCTGTGACCAAGTTGCAACTCTGCTGATGAATATCAAGAGAATCTGCAGCTCATTCCAAGTGTAGGAGGTCACAATTCGGGGTGGGGCTGGTGGCCCTGAAATTGCATTTGGACTCTGATGTTAAGAGGAAAGTTGTAAATAGTGTTTGTTTTGTATAATCATTTTCATAAATGCTCTGTTTCTCTGATACTAACCAATTTATAATTTTGGGTCTGTCTTATAGATTAAAATTATCGCATGATTATATACATCTTTGTTAGCAATACAGCCAACAAGAAAAAGAAAAAAGTCATAAAAATGGTTCAGATTTTGTTTGGTATGTTACGTTATAAATTAATCATTTTCCCAAATTTTCTGCTTCTCTTTAATTTTTGTTTGACCAACTGAATTTGTTATTTAAATGCGAGCCAAAATTACTTGTGTGCCATCCACATTCTGTTGGAAATAGGCAAGCAAATTGTCAACACGAACTTTCACCTTCTTTTAGTAAGTGGCTTATTCATGGGGGCTTACTATAAAATTGTTCATGATAATTCCCGGGGGCAATAGCTACTTAGATGTTGATTAATGCATTCAGTAGCTGGTTTATTGTATGTATGCTAAATTTGAAATTAGTGTTACAATTTTCTAATATCTATTATCAAAGCCTTTATGAGAAAAGCATCAATCATGAAGCACTTTGTGGTTCATACCAAATGCAATGAATAAAATAATGAACTTATAATAAAACATTATTTATTTATAAATTTGTCAAAAATTATCTTTTGTATTTTTGAATTTTTTTTTTAAAATTCATATTATTTTGCTATATTTAAGAGTCTTCTTGATAGTGTAGTGTATGTGTTTTAGATTTAGCACATCAAAAAAAAGTTAATTCCGAAATTTTAATGGCAAGTGACAAATGATTTGATAGAGTGGGATGTATCTTTGGGGTGATCAAGAGGATGGCAAGGCATTTGTGAGATCGTGAAGAGTTTGTTAAGAGGAAAAATCTGCCACTAAAAGGGAAGCACTAACGAGTGATACATACAACACATGATTTTCAAATAAATTTTGATTCGTCAATGAAAAAATTAATTTTGCAAAAAAAAAAAAAATTTTTTTCAATTAAAAAATAATAATTAAAAAAATAAAATGACATTTGCTTGGAAAGCCGCTGGCATCAGGTTAATATTTAACTAATTGTCATGAACATTAATGTCTTTCTCTACAAGTTTAAAACAAGAAAGAATTAATGTGGAAATAAATTTTTTTTATAAAAACCAGTTATCTAAAGTATTCACAAGTATGTGCAAGAGCTGTACGTAATGCTTTAAAAGATGAACATAAAGTGCTTGCACAAAGAAGAGATGAACAAAATGTTAAATTTGCAAAATGGGACCAGGGTAAACAAGGAGATTTTGTATGTTTTGGTTTTTTTTTAAAAACAAATTTTGTTGTAATATTTATTAATGAATTAATTAGCATTATTAGCATTATTAATCAATCCTTCTGTTTTATTATTCTTTTCGAAACACACTCACATTTTCTTAAAATATGGAAAATAGAAATTAATCGATTCTCAATCACAACAAGTTGAAAATTAATCAATAAAAAATTATATTTCTTTAATAAATTAAATAACTAAAAGTTTTGAGATGATTACATATAAATAATATAGTCAGAACTTCTTTAATGACCCTATATCATATCCCAAGCTCAAGACCTAGAGACAAATACATCATGCTTCCATGTTCTACACTGCATGATTTTACAAGTCAAGTTTATATTAATATTAAAAAAACCACCATCTGACTGTGACTTCACATGACTATCATCCAATAGATAATCAAAAAATAAATAAATGAAAAATTAAATTTTTTTTTCAAATTTGAAAATAAAATTATATATCCTAATCAACCTAATCACACAATGAGTTCACAACATTTCATTCCTCCATTAGTATGTGATATAATCATAACACTTATTCGCAACGTCAATCGACTGTATTAATATTTTAATTAATTGTTATAAACATTTTTTTGAATTTAGAATTATGGTATGATTGAAGAAGATTTATATAGATCAGGACAGCCAAATGAATTGAATTTTCCATTTTTAGAGAAACTTGGTCTGAAAACTGTTGTTTGGTTAGCTCCTGAAGAACCAAATCAACGATTGTAAATATTTTTTCATTCGAAAAAAAAAATTGCAATAATCAAAAAAATAGTTCTTATTTCTAATAATAATTTTTTTTCCTTCGTTAATCTAGTATAAATTTTATTGATGACCAAGAAATTCACTTTTATCACTTGGGTGTAATTTCATCAACAACAAATGCATGGGATCCCATTACTGAAGAAGTGGTATTAGAAGCTTTGGAATTGATTCTTAATTCTCATAATTATCCAATGATTATTATGTGTAATTTAGGTAGACATAGAACTGGTACTATTGTAGGATGTTTACGTAAATTACAAAGATGGAATTTGACTTCAATTTTCGAAGAGTATCGTCGTTATGCTGGTCCTAAAGTTAGAGTTTTAAATGAACAATTTATTGAATTATTTGATACTGACTTGGTTAGATTGCCTCCACCTATTAATCATCCAAAATGGTTATAATAATGATAATAATAGTTAATAACAATAATATTTTTGGGAATACACAAGAACAAATCCAGAACAAAGCCTTACTACATTATTTTATTTTTTTATAAAAAAGATTTAATATTTATTAAAAAAAAAATTAATTATACATAATAAATTAAAAAAAAACTTAATTTACTTAATATTATATATTAATAATAATAATCTTAAAATATTAAAAAAAATTTTGCCATCTTGCCAATTAATTTGCCATTTTTTTTAAAAAACATAATCATATACAAAAATTTTTTGTTTCCTTATTCATATTTATAATAGAAATAAATATATAAATTCTTATTTACAAAATAAAAAATAAATAAATAAATAAAATAAACAAAAATTTAATTTATTTATTAGATTTAATTCCATGGCTAAATAACTGTTGAAATTCTTGTTTTTGATAAGGTATCATATCATGTAAAATATTCCTGAGTTCAGTTTCTTTCTCAGCTATCCAAGATGTTTTTAGATCTTCATCATCAAAACCATTTAAAATTTCTGTCATGTTTTCTATATCAGATTTCCAATAAAATCTTTGATAGAAAACTGATGGGTTAAAACATTTTGTTGAAGGAATAAGCGAAAATACTTCTTTTGGAATTGATGATGGCGGATTACGTATTCTTGATTTAATTAATTTAAAATTAGTTTAGTTTAATCACTCTTAATCTATATATATATATATATATATATATATGTACATATATTTATTTTATATATACTCACGATAATTGTATAGTTTTTTCGCCAAAACAGTTTCCACAACAAATAATCATCGAAGGCCAAATCTCGTAATAAAATTTTTCGTAAGATCCACCACAAAATTGACATTTATCTGCTAATAAAGTCAACCAAATGTATTTTTGCTCAGTTAAGCCGAATGGTGGATCCAACTCTGGATATTTCAAAAAACTAATTCTAGATTTTTTCCAAATTATTTGGGTTGCATCAGATTTTGACCACAATAAATTACGAAAATATTTACATGCGGTTGATAAATTGTATAAATCGTATGGTGAAACACCTTTACAAATTTCTATTATAATCTCAATTGGCAACTTGGTTATTATTTGATTCTGTAATTTTGAATGATTAATGGCAACATCAGTGAATGTTGTAGATATTGATGTCACTGATGTTGCAGAAGTTAATGTTGTTGTATTTGTAGTTACTGCTGATGATGATGATGATAAGTCTAATTTTTCTCTATAACATTTTTCTGGATGTATAGTGTTAGAATCGAATATTGTACAATCTGATTTACATGCAATAAACTCGCGTAAAACTGTAAATAATTCACATATTGTTACACAAGTCATTTTAATTTCTATAATGAAAAAAAAAACGATCAAAAAAAAAGATCCATTAAATGTGGAGATATTTTATATTTGTATATATATATAATTTTTACTTATTCGACTCCTATTTTTTCTTTAAAAAGGTTAATGAATGGAGCTGAGCTATCCAAGTGGCCATGAAATTAATTTGATTTTACAAGTAATTACAAGTAGAGATAATGGAGAGAAATCATCCTTTTATTTATTTATAAACAATGCGTACCAAATATTTATTATCCATGCCACTTTGATGTGGCTTCAATGAAAACATTTCGGCATTTACGGGCAAACATATTAACGCATTGTTAGTGACTTGGCATTTTTTTTTTTTTTTGAAATTTACATAGAATAGAATTTATATATTTTTTGTATATCTTACAAAAGTTTAAATTTAAAGTAAAAAGCGTGACCAATTTCTTTTACTACTAGTACTGGTTGGATTTCCTTAGAAAATAAAGGCACTGAAAAATTTAATATTTATATATTTCTCAATATTTAATGTGGCTTAGGAATGGTGTGGGAAATAATATAAATATTTATTTTCTAAGCCACATTAACTGTTCAAAAAAAAAAAATAAATTTGCCTTTAAAAAACCCCCATATTTACATTATCCTGTACCAATACCTTTCTTTTGTCTTTTCTCTTGACTAATTATAAATTTACAAATTTTTTAAAAAAAAATTAGTTGGTTTTTCAAATTTCATTGTGGCTAAAATTAAAAACTAATTGTGGCTAACTAAATAAATTTATTTGCCACAGATTAGGTATGTACATATGTTGAAGTCTGATCAATTTATTTTGGTTAGTCTTTTTTTGAAAATCTAATATTTATTGGTGTTAGTGCGGCTCGAGTCATCTAGTCCCGATCAGTGGCAAATTTTTTCCATAAACATTTTAGATAATTCACGTGACCAAGAAATTAACAAAAAAAAAATCATGCGACCGCCAATTGTCAGAAAATAATCATTAAAAATTTAGATATACATGTATAGTTAGTCAATTCAAAATATCATACATAATGTTAAACAAATCCGTGTAACTAATGTGCATATTTATCATTATTTTGTACATAATTTACATCAAATCATGAATTCAATCCTTGCTCCTTTAAATGATGATAAGTTAGAAGGTGATGAGTATTGCGAATGTTTTACTTGTGCAATTGGATCAAGATTTCATTTCTGCAACAATGTTTCTTGATTATTTAACAAATATTTTGAAAGATTAATAAAAACATTTCAATTAGATTATCTATCTTTATCACAATATAAACCAAACATCAATGCTGAAATTAAAGAGATAACAGAAGAATTTATAGGTGATGGAGAAGTTCTACCAAATCATGGCATGATATTCAAAAAATTATTTAGAAGAAAATTATCTTTCAGCACCTTCATTTGTTAAAGATTACTCATTAGCAATGATAAAAGCCATAAATTTCCTGACTCTGAACTATTTTATTTGTTTAGAATTTTTGATCCAAATGAACTTCCTGATATTGAAAATGTTTTAAATCTATATGGTCAGAGTGAGATAGAGTTTTTAGAAATTTTATGGAGATACTAAATTGGTGAATGATGAAGTTTTGCGAATTGTTGAAAAAGGAAAACTCATAGAAGAGTGGGAACTCCCTAAAATTCTATTTGTATCCCCATAAAAATACAGAAATGTATTTTATTCAATTGTAGAAACACAGATGAAAATTTTTATTTCAATTATCCAAATTTAACAATTATTGTTAAAGTAACACTACTCATACCTTTTTCCAATGCACATGTTGAAATACATTGAATAGCCATTTAGTGATTTTACTAAATGGTCTAGATATTCAAGATTTTAATTTTGAAAATGCATATGAACATTGTATAAATAAAAAAGAAAGGAATTTTTCACTAAAAAATTTTTTTGGTGATGATCAAACAAAATGTGCGCATTTTTTTATTGTCCCTGGTTTGATGTTACACACTTCAAAGACCTGCTTGAATTTTTAAATTTGGTTAGTTAACTGCTAAAAAATAAAAAAGAACGATGATAAAACAAACTCCATATAGAATTTTTTTGCGTAATGTTGACATCAAATTTGTATACAAAAAATATTCGTTGCATATATTTAAATGAAGAAAATTAACAAGAAATAAAAAAAAAAGGATTTCCGCTGGTCTTTTGGTCTTTGAAAAAAAATAACTTTATCATCACCAAAAAATACCTTAAACTCTTATTAAAACGCTATCCCTTATAAGTGATGAAAATGATTAGCGCTCGTGTTGCAAATACTGGTGCGGCTAGTTTCTCATTCCTGTGTCTTCTTTTAGTGAACTTGGGGACGCCAATTATCAAGTCAATTTTTATTGCGAGCGTTGAAATGAAAGGTCCTTCATTAGGTGGAAAAATTATATTTGGAATATATGGCGCTTGTGCGAAGTTTTCTGGTAGTATTGTTACATCTGGATGCGCTAATATTGGTCTTGTTAGTTCTAATGACAATAGAAATGTCGGTACAAAGTTTTTGTTATCTATGCATGCTGTTGGTAATGTGCTTACTTATTAATTAAAATGTGAAAAATATTGTATATAATAAATTAAATTATTGTCTATTGTTTGAATATATATTTTTAGGTGTAGTAACATCATTCATGCTGTTTTACATTGGAATGTATACCCGTAATTATGTTATACATAAAAAAATGTCATGGATCTTCGCATTATTCAATTCTTTTGTCATTTTGTTAGCAATGGGAGGACAAATTGACAATTATTTAAAAATTAAAAACGACGCCGACGTTTTTGGAACTACAACGATTGGGACTAGTGGATTTATCCTTGTAATTTTACCTCTCCTATTCTCATTCATTTCAATTTTTGCATTTTACATGGGAGATCAAGCTGCAGGTGAAGGAGGTAGCATCAATGGTCCCGGAAATATGGCAGCAATTAACAATCAGTCACCTGTTCATCCATATCAACAACCTTTCAATCAGCCACCTGTTCCTCATTATAATGATCAACAATCCTCACCTCCACCTTATACAAGTCCTCAATATGGTGATCAATATAATAATTATCAATTTCCACCTCCACAATCTTATCCAAATTCTCAATATGGTAATCAATATAATAATTATCAATCTCCACCTCCACAATCTTATCCAAATTCTCAGTATGATCAATATAATGCGAAACAAAATCCATATTCAAGACCACTACCTCCACTACCTCCACAATCTCCACAATCTTATACAGATAATCAACCTTATTCGAGCACCGACCATGAACCTGCTATGATGTAACTTTGATTTTTCCAACCCAATGTATCATTATCATGTGATTTTTCTATATAAGCATTATTATTAATATATTTCATAGAAATTATGGCTCCAGAAACATGGCCATTTTTGTAATACAAATTGATTTTTTTATGTATGAAGAAATAGCGCAGAAATTTTTCTTTCCATTTCCAAACCTTTGACAAAAAATTTCAGCAATCCATTCTAAAATCCGAGTTGGGATTAGTGATTGTATTCATTTAAAATTTTAATACTGACAAATTTGAATTTAGAAAAATATTCAAATTTTGTGATTAATATTCAAATTTGAAAAGGATTATTATTATTAATGCGGTTCTGCCGTCTTTACTGCATCCTTTGTCATTTTTTAATGCAACCATATATTTAAACCCAGTAGGGAATGAATGAAAATGAACAAGCTTTTATTTTTTCTATCATTTGAAGAGCTAGAGCTTGAACTGTTTGTTATCTGACACTTGATATCTAAAAATTTTATTGGCAAAATTTATTTCGAAATGAATTTCAAAGGAAAATATGATGATGAAAAAGAATTAATTATTGCTTTTATTTTTGTTTCAAAAAACTAAATATTAATATTAATATTGCGTAAATAATTTAATTCATTTCTTATTTTAAATAATTGTCACATTATTAAATTTGATCAAATCTTACTGAATTCTTGTCGATTTGGATTTCACAAATTCGAATATATTAATATGGGACATTCATATATCATTTGCGGGATCACATTATTTAAACATATAAAAAATAGATTCTTTGTCACCACTCTTAAATGTTTTCATCGATTATAAGCTATGTTATAGTTTTTATTATTGTACAGAAAACCCAATTTTGAATTCTACAGTTATAAAGATTATTTAAAACGGGATCATTATTTTATAATCTTATTCCTGATTGATTGTAATAAAAAAAAATCATCAGATAGATTATCAAAGATACGTTTATAATTTGAAGCTTGGATGACTTTGTTCAACAATAATTGATTAAATAAATAAACCATTACATAGTTAACCTGTTAAGCCAAAGGCATTTGTGGTGCCATTCTCTTCGGATTAACGGGATAAATTTAATGGATTTGGTGTTTAAAAGGATCAGATTCGAATCAGCATCTTGAAACCCAATATTTGATCGGATGATAATGTCACACGCGCAGATTCGTGTATTGAAATTTCAACACTGGGTGCGGATAATGCTCGAATTTTATAGTTAAAGTTGTTTCTTTTTTTTGCTCCAAAGAGTTTTGAATTTATTAAATGTGTATTGGATTTTTAAATAATTTATGATTTTGAGGTTAAAATAAAAATATTGTAAACATAAAATATTATATTATGTCTGTCATACTATTGTGATATTAGTTCCATCATTATCTTCTCCTGGTACTAAATATTACTATGAAAATAAAACATCGGTGGAGAGCATTATAAAATCGTTAACATCATAATTGTGGATTTAGCAATTGAAGATTATTAATTTCTTCGATATCAATATTATCTAAAGATGGGAACCACAATTCAATTTTCATATGCCGCAATTAGTTGCAACTGATTGTAATTAGCTGAGAAGTCATATTTAAACCTATGGTCAAATAAATTATAGTAAGATACAGGAAGAATACCTAGATTTTGACAAGAAGATTACCTTCAATATATTAATGACTTTTACTAACCAGCATTATCAGAATTTAATATATATATATCTAGGCACTCATAGCTCTTATTTTCAAGAAAATGATGAAAATGAATTCATAATTGACATAATTAATTTCGCATCATCAATGATAGAAGAAATCAACAAGCTCTCCTTTACTCAATTCCATGAATAATTTTAATCCAATATAATGGCCAAAAACTAGAGAGCTTTTAAATAACTTGGTGATAGAGAGTTAGAAATTTTGATGATGAACCTAATTATCCAAACTTTTCTCTTATGCAATTATAAATGATGATGAATTTAAGAGATAATTTTATAATTATTAGCATATCATTACAAACAACATCAATAAATATTTCATTAAAATACCTTCGTGAAATTACACAAATATATTTCCAAATATTCTTAAATCAAGTGTTAAGTGTGAGTGTGATTTTTTTGACAATACAGATTACAAATGTTGATATTGCCAGGATTGGAAGGATCTGACCATGATGAATATTATGATTATACAAACGTATGATTTCGATCAAAAGACAGAAGAATTAAAGATTAGTTCCAAAATTTTATAAAAATTTCGAACAAAAATACTTGTAAGTCAGAGTTTTTGGACAGTCCCTTTAATTTCTCCAAAAAACAATCATTTTGAGAAACTAGTGATGATATGCACCCTGGTATAAAATAATTATGGGTAATATACCCTGGATTATTTTGCATAGATTAATTGATATATATATATATAGTATAATAAATAAATCCTGTGATCACCGATTACAAAGTTAATCCTGCAAGAGGATCAACTATATGATAGTGTTAACGACTTTAAGTTTTATCTTCTCATGATCTTTCTTCTTGTTGCAATTATTACTAATCATATTCCACAAACTTGTGCATTCCACGAGCCTAATTAATTAAATCTTGTACAATAATAGCAACGCGTATAAAAAGGACCCTAGAAAACTATATAGGTTATTACCGCGGCTGACCTGCAAATTACGAAATTTGGAAAGATTCTCTCCAATCAGCCAATCACACAGAGAGTCAAAATTTATATCATGTATAAAAAATGAAAAATCTCTTGTTTTTTATTTTTTGAGACACGAGAGACACGAGAAAGATGTACGTACGCGTGACAGATCATAACAATAACAATTGAAAATAAAATATATAAATAACACTTGGGTTTTCTCTCTCTCAAAAAGTAAACAGCAAGAATTTCCCTCTCCAGCGACATTATCCATTTTATCAACATCCATTTTATCTTTCGACGACGGCAAAGACCTTCCTTCCATTATATTATTGTTATTATTATTATATTATATTTATGGTTATATTATTTATTGTAACTGCAGTATTTTATTTTAATAATAATAATATAAGATTACCTACCCATTCTGGGAATATGTAATAAAATCATCAAAATAAGTTTTTATTCTTCTCACTTTAATTTATTTAAACATTATTATTTTTTTTTCTTTTAATATTTATTCGTAAAAGGACAAGTGAAAGTAAAAGAGCTTTACTGCCAACGAGGTTGTTCGTGCGTTCATTTCCGGCTCAACTCTTCCTTCGATTAGTTCTTTTTTTTCATCCCTCCGTCCTGATGCGCTTTTGTCTCGAACAGTACTGCAAACAGCCGCTTCTCCCTGAGGTATTGTTGCGAGACGTTGCTCAACTTTTGACCAAAATAGGTCAGACACTTAATACATTGATTGGCTTGTTTTTATTCCACATGGCAGTAAGTCTTATTACAATAATAAATCAATTATATGGACGGGCGGGTTTATAATTTTTATAATTTATTGAATATTTATGAAGTTAAAAATTTACTAACATATTTCAATATTTTATTACAATAGGTCGAGTTATACTATCTGGGAATAGTGGATTTGGTTTGTGCAAGTTTTCCGAAAGTAAAAGTACGTGCAACTCTAAATATTTAATTCTTAAAAATAATAATTTGTTTGCGCAGTATTGATATTATTATTATTTATTTTACATATTATACTAGGCGAGTCCTTTTTATATACTCTTTTATATACTCCTTTATATGCTCCTTTATATAGTCATTTATGTATTACTTCGTATTCTCTTTCACACCTTTATTTACACATTCATTCACACCAATTCTTTCTGCATACATTAGACCTCATTCGACCTTTATTTATGCCTCCATTTTTATTCGCGCTTCCATTCACTCCTTCCTTCTTTTCGTTCATTTATCCACTTTAGCTTCTTTAGTTTAGTTTTAATTTGGTTTGATTTTAGCTTCTTTAGTATAGTTTTAGTATAGTTAAGTTTTAGCTTCTTTGGTTTAGTTTTAGTTTAGTTTTATTTTGACTTTAGTTTAGCTTTATCACTATCCCTATACTCATCTTCATATATACCACCCATTTCTTGAGCGTTTTACTTTCATTTATTCAAGTTTATGCCGGTTTCTAATAAGTGTCAGGTAAATAATCAATTATATTTTATTAAATAATAATGATAATTAATTAGTTAAAACATTATACTAATATTCATGATAAATAATAATTTTAAAGTTAGGGCAACATTTTATTACGAACGCACGTTATTTGGCCATCAAAGGGGGATAATATTTGGTTAGAAACAAAAGGCTGATTATGAAGGAAAGAAAAAGTTGAGCCGATGAGGAGAAGCATCATTGGATTTTTAGGTTTTGGTGTTTGTTAATTTATCCAGATAGTTGGTAACAAATTGATTCAATATTTGTTCGAATTGAATTGATTATAATTATTTTGAAATATTTGTTTGTTAGCGCTTTAATTATCTATCAACTTATCTATTTATTGACATCATCCTTAATTATTGCATCCTTCGTTATCATTATCATTATCATTATTTTTATTTATTTAATTTTCACCAGTACTTTTACTCATTTGTCATGGAAGGCAGAAGATCTAAGGTACGGTACGGACTCGACGGAGGTTGGTAGTGAAGCGGACTAAATCAGGTCTATATTAGTAGTAGTAGTAGAATTATTAGCTTCTTAGTAATATAATTATTATTAGTAGCAGTAGCTTTAGTATTGGTTATTCTTTTTTTTTTTTTGATGTCTGATTTAGTCCGCTTCTCAAGAAACTACCTACAGAAACTTCTTTAGACGTGATGTTATTTTTTTATTTTTTTATTAGTATTATGAAAAAACAATTTTTAATTCATGTATGTTAGTAGTAGCAATAGCTTTAGCATTTATTAGTTGTATTCACTTTGGACGTGGCATTAGATTGGTTGGCTACGACATTATCATTGCGATGGATGGGCGTGGTATTTTATTTAATGTATTATTAATAAGTTTTATTATTAAAAAAATTGTTAAGGGAAAATACTTATTAAAGTTGATATAATAACATATAGAAATGCGTCTGGAATAATTTTATTGTCTGAAAATTTATATTTTTAATATGTAAACTCGATAAGTCGGTCATGTGGGGTAACGACTTATCAAACCGTATTAAATTTATCTATAATTCCATAGTTATAAAGCGGTAGGGTGTCCATGATTATGCTTTTTTTTTGCAAATTATATATACTTTTTTTTTTCTATATAGAATCATGCTTTTATGCTTTTTTTTCCAAAATTGATTTTCAGAAAAATTAAAATACATGAAATTTAATTTTTCTTTTAAATCAGTTCAGTTAATATACTTTTATAAATCGAAAAATATCTTTAAACATCAACACTGGACACAGGAAGTTTCACCAACAGTTATACTAATCATATTATTTTTTATTAAATTTTTTAATTTCTATACTTCAAATTCATAACTCATTGGCAAATATTTTTTGAGAAGTTGATTTGAACCTAAAATATAACCTCCTAGGAAATAATAAAAATAAAAATAAATGATAATTTACATTAAAATATTCAAATTAATTTATTTTAAGGTCATTTTGATTATATCGAGAGATATGGTCAAGAGAAGAGTTAGAAAGAGAGTTATTCTTCAACCAAGTCGAAAACCAACCCTTTAAATACATTTTCGAGTAGTACGTTTTAATTTATTAGACTATTTCAAATGGTTGCTTCCAACTTCTTAAATTCGAACCATTTGTTAACGAAACAACTGTTTGATTTTTTTCATACATCGTTCATGTTTCCTCTTGATTGTATATCTTAAATTGGTCGCGTTTACAATCATTTTAAAATTAATTACATTAAGGTTATTTTGATTATATCGAGAGATATGGCCAAGAGAAGAGTTAGGAAGAGAGTTATTCTTCAACCAAGTCGAAAACCAACCCTTTAAATACATTTTCGAGTAGTACAATTTAATTTATTAGACTATTTCAAAGGTTTTGTCGCATGTTTGCTTCCAGCTTCTTAAATTCGAACCATTTGTTAATGAAACAATTGTTCGTGAAGTGATTGAATCAAACCCACATTAAATGGTTGATTTTTAAATTCACGATTTTAATTGGTCAATCAATCAACAATTGCGTGGTCTCCTGTAATAACGTTGTATAATAATAACGACAATTATTTTATGTCGCCGAATGTAGAATGTTGATTTCCGTGCGCTGAAATAGCCTGAGAGGAATTTCTCTACGAAAAAATAACAAAAAAGTTTGGACGACTGTCCTATTTATATGTTTCGAATTTAATAGAATAGACATTGTCTTGGCCCGAGTGATGTCATTTTTTTTCTCTTTGCGACAAAGAAGACGCAAAACCCAACTTAATTGAATTTTTATTCTCGCGTAGCACGGTATGCGTGTTTTGTAACGAAAAGCAAAAGCTCACACTGCGTTCTCAGTTGTAACCTTGTTTATTTGTTAAAATATAACGCACAAATTAGGCGCGTCGAATAGAGTGTTAATTAAATAGCAACGATTAATTAACCAGTTACATGTTTGTTCTTAATTAGTGGAAATTAAACGGTGTTGGAGACATTAACTTCTATTAATTATGTTTCCTAAATCTATTTTTAAGAACCCCGGGAAACGTATGGTTCTTATTATGTATTTTATTATTTATTTAATAATTGTAATTTTATATAAATAAGACGGTGAAAAGATCAATAAAATTAATGAAGGAATAAACGAACAAAAGTTAAGTTATTTTCTCTGGCAAATATATTGGAACATAATTCCGAGTGAGGAATAATAGTGAGAAATGAATTAAACTTCTGAAAACACGTTTGAACGATTAAAGTAAGAAAACTCTTACACCATTAAACCCTGATGAAATAATATGACAAGAAAAAGATGGTCATTGTGAAACTTTATTAATGGTAATCTTTAATATTAATATGAATGATATAATTATATTAGATACATAACAATATGTGTATGGATGTTAATTAATCAATCAAATTGTTAAAATGATTTTAAAAGATAATGGGGCAAGACCCTCTATATTTGTCTCTAGTTTGAATATTTTATACATAATTATTTTATTATTGTTAGATGGGTGAATTGAAAAGAAATAACATGTGGTTTCCTGTGAAGGGAACAAATTTTATTTTTTTATTTATTTATTTAGTAGAGAACCAGGAGTATACAAATCATGTTAAATAAAATTATTATATATATTAGATATTGAAGATTTTTTTATTCTTATATATAACGATATTGTAGATGTAAATAACAATGTCAAAAAGAGGAAAAGAGATGACAATAAATGAAAGATATTGGATTTTGTATATAGTGATGTAACTTTTAACCCTGTGCTTAATAAGTCAAACTTATTAAGTACTTAATAATAAGTTTGTAAAATCTTTCAAAACTTAATTAAAACCTTTTTACACTTTGAATAATTGCAATGAGAGACATACCGCCTAGTTGCAGGAGATACCATTACCTGTGAGATGTAAAAATTTTTTTTTTTTTTTTGCTGACCAAACATTTATGTTGATCGTGCCATTCTGGGAATGGGATCATGACCAAACTGTGACCTGCTACCTTATCAGAAAATTTTTATTATCTTTAAAAAAAAAGATTTATTAAAATAAACTAAATAAAATGGACTCCAATATGAACTGGGTTCCCTAAGATCTTCTTTTCAATAAGGTTGACAATTTGTTCTTTGTAAATATGTGGTATGACTGACGCATTATTGAGTTTCTTGAATTTAAGAAAGGTGACATTTTGGCTGGTCTTTCAAAGACATCTGCATATAATGCATATAAAAGAGGTTTGCAACTGATCTTGGAGTCAGAACCGCTGGAAAACATCTCCATTGCTATTATGAAACAGTTGACACAAAAGATACAGGAAAGTGATGAAGTTAATATCTACAGAAAAGAAGTATACAGAACAGTTAAATACTATCAGAGCTAATTCTTCATTTGAAAGTGTAAGTGCTATGTGCTTGCGTGTTTTTTTTTAGATTTACACATCAGGAAAATAGGTATGATGCAAGTCACCTAGTCCCGCAACTTGCTGCGCCTCATGGCCAATTTTGGGAAAATCATCAAAACTCAGGATTTGTAAGTTATGCTCAAAAATGCAATAAATTTTTATATCACGTGACCTTTGATGGTGATACAAATTAAAAAAATATTTATATATTAATATATAACATTGCTAAAAAAAAATTTCCTTCTTCATGTGAAGAAGCCAATGCTCCTGCGGAGAGCATACTTTGAGAGCTTTGCCCTCAAAGAATTTTTGGACACCATACATTTTTCATATTAAAAAGATTAATTGTCATCTCTCA